TTGAGAGATTATGATATCACTATTTTTTATCTTCCGGGGAAGGCTAATGTGATGGCTGATTCCTTGAGTAGAAAGGTGGAGGGTATGGGGAGTTTGGCATTAATGTAGCTATAGAGAGACCTTTGGCTTTGGATGTTTAGGCTTTCGCCAACAGATTCGTGAGATTGAATATTTGGAGCCTAGCAGAGTCCTTGCTTGTGTTGTATCTCAGGCATCCTTGTTTGAGCACATTAAGGCTCATCAGCATTATGATCCATATTTACTTCTCCTTAAGGACACGGTGCAGCAAGGTGGTGCTATGGAGGTGGCTATTAATAATAATGGTGTGTTGAGGCTTCAGGGTCAGATCTATGTTCCTAATGTGATGGTTTGAGGGATTTTATTCTTGAGGAGGCTCACAGTTCGCGCTATTCTATTCACCTAGGTGCTACGAAGATGTATCGTGAGCTGAAGTAACATTATTGGCGGCAGAGGATAAAGAAGGACATTGTGGGATATGTTGTGTGGTGTTTGAATTGTCAGCAGGTCAAGTATGAGCATCAGAGACCGGGTGGGTTGCCTCAGAAGCTTAAGCAACCGGAGTGAAAGTGGGAGCGCATCATCATGGACTTTGTGGTAGGGTTCACGAACATTAAGGAGATTGATGACGTTTGGGTAATTGTGGACAGACTGACCAAGTCTGTGCATTTCATTTCAGTCATGATTTCCTACACTTCAGAGCAGTTGGATAAGATATACATCATGGAGATTGTCCGCCTGCATGGTTTGCCTGTTTCTATCATCTCATATCGCGTCACTCAGTTTACTTTGCATTTATGGAGAGCGGTTCAGCATGAGTTGGGCACGCAGGTTGCGTTGAGCACTGCACTTCATCTCAAACGGATGGTAATCCGAGCGGACCATTCAGTTTTTGGAGGATACGTTGAGGGCTTGTGTTATAGATTTCAGAGGCTAGTGGGATCAATTTCTTCCATTAGCGGAGTTTGTATACAACAACAGTTACCAGTCGAGCATCCAGATGGCTCCGTATGAGACCTTATATGGGAGACGATGTCGTTTTCCAGTTGGTTTGTTTGAGCCTTGTGAGGCTAGATTGTTGGACACAGACTTGGTTCGTGATGCTTTGGAAAATGTGAAATTGATTCAGGAGCGTCTTTGTACAGCATCGTCCAGGCAAAAGAGTTATACTGACAGAAAGGTTCTTGATGTAGCTTTCAAGGAGGGTAAGAAGGTTCTTCTCCTAGTTTTGCCTATGAAGGGCGTGATGAGATTTGGGAGGAATGGCAAATTGAGCCTTTGGTAAATTGGTTCATTCCAGATGTTAGAGACAGTTGGTGAGGTGGCCTACAGAGTTGCTTTACCACCCAGCTTGTTGGGAGTTCACCAGTGTTTCATGTTTTAATGCTTCGAAATATTATGAGGATCAGTCACACGTGTTTTATTTCCCTTCAGTGCAGTTGGATGAGAATCTGTCTTACGAAGAAGAGCCGATGGCCATTTTGGATAGGCCATTTTAGAAGCGAAGGTCTAACGATATTGCATCAGTGAAGATATAGTGGAGAGGTCAACAAGGAGCCGACTTGGGAGACCGATCATGATATACGGAGCATATATCCTCATCTTTTTGATATCCCAGGTATGATTCTAAACCTGTTCGAGGATGAACGTTTGTTTAAGAGGGAAAAAATATAATGGCCCAGTCGGTATTTTTGTGTATTTGAGCCCTGATTCCCCATTTGATACTTTTTGGGTGCTTTATTATTATTTTATGACAGGCGAGGATGGTTGGTTTGGTTCTGGGAAGGTTTTGGAGTGAATTGAAACAATTAGTGCCATTGTTGGAAGCTTAAGTTTGAGTTGATCAAGGTTTGACATTTGTTAAACAATCTTAGATTCGTATTTAATGGTTCCAATAGGATCGTATGGTGATTTTGTACTTACGCGTATGGCCGGATTTGTATTTGAAGGTTCCTAGAATGACTTAACTCTATTTGCTGAAAGTTGGCAGTTTGAAGGTTTGGAAGGTTCATAAATTTGACCGTGAGTTAACTTTGAGGCTATCGGGTTCAAATTGTTGTTTCGGGACTTAGAATATGTTCATTTTGTCATTTGGGACTTGTATGCAAAGTTTGGTTTATTCCGAGTTGGTTGGGTAGGAATCAGACGCTTGGTTGTGGAATTTCAAATTCTTGAACTTGGAAGCTTGCATGATGCGTTTTGGTATTTGATTCTTGGTTATGGATATTATTTTGATATTTTGAGCTTAAGAAAGATTTTTTATGAGGTTTATATACTTGTATGGATGTTTGGTACGGGGCTTGAGGGGCTCGGGTGAGTTTTGGACGAGTTTCAGATTGAGTTTTGAAAATTGGAGATTTCTGGTGCTGCAGATATCGTATTTGTGATAGTCTGCTCGCATTTGCGAAGTTTGCATTTGTGGACTTCTGATTGAATTTGCAAAGGGGTGATGTGAAGGCCATCTTTGTATTTGCGAAGCTGGTGTCCCAATTGTGACATCTACATTTTGGAAGGGTGCATCGCAATTGCGACGCCTAGTCGCAGTTGCGGGGCTCCTGGTCGCAATTTCGAAGACTGCTGCTCAGGGACCAACTTCACGTTTGTGAGCCTTTGCGTTTGCGAGGGTCGCATTTTCAAATCATGGTAGCATTTTCAACTTCCGCAGCTGATTATTAGGAAGCAATTTTGGGACTTAGAGTCTTAGACCCATAATCTCATATTTTGAATCGTAGACTTAGAGAGGGGCGATTTTTGAAGAGGATTTTCACACAAGACTTTGGGATAAATGAATTTTACACATTTCTACCATTAATTCAACAACCTACATGGATTATTAACACCCAAATATGAAGCTTTGAGAGAAATGTGGGGATTTATCATACAACTTAAGAAAATAAAAATTGAGGATTTGGATGTCGATTTGGACTTGATTTTACCTACTCGGACTCGTGGGGTTATGGATAGTCGAAATCTACCCCATATCTTAAGTTTTGATCGTGTGGGTCCGGGTTGACTTTTGTTGACTTTTTTAGAATTGAATAAAGATCAAAGATTTATTATTTGGAATTGATTCCTGCGGCTTTGTTTGATGTGATTGAGTTGTTTTTGGCTAGATTTTACTCATTCGGAGGCCTAATGTTAAGAGTTGAATATATTCATGCCACTAATGTTACACTATTGGCTCATATATGCTAGCTTCCACTAACGGAACCCAACTACTAGCAAATTTTGCCACGTGACATCATCTAAACACTTCATCATTTACCATTCCCCTCCCCTCTCATGCCCCCTTTAAGAGTGGCATATATGAGCCTTTTTGATTAAGTTCAATGGCATTTTGAGATTTTTTATTGAGTTCACTTATATATTTGAGCCTCTTCTGAAGCCACAACTACGTCCTAACCATTGTAGCACCCCAAATTTTACCATGAAAATACATACTCTTAATTCACACACTCATACATATTTTTTATACCCAGCTATACCTCATTAGTGTACTCTCTATTAAACACATGTTTTTTTTTTTTGTCAAAATAAATTTTATGTCATTTTCCCAAGCCATCACAATGTCCAAAACACTGTAATACTCCAAATTCCACCATGAAAATTACATACTTTCAATAAACACTCAAATGTACTTTCCATACCCAAATACACCTCATTAATGCTCTCTTTTAAGCTCGTCTCTTCTTTTTGTTAAATAAATTTTATGTATTTTTAAATCTTTTAAAGAGCTAATGTACGGGAAATTTTTGAATGAAATAAAATAGGATCAAATTCATAGTCCAATTAAATTAAATAAGAGAGTATAATTTTTCCATACAAAATAATAATGTTATAATACAAGGGACAAACTTGTCCTTATAAGTTTGTTACATAAAAATGTAAGGTATAAAATTAGCAAAATTTGAGGTTTTATACAGAAATATAATTCTAAAAGGTTGAATATCATGCATCGAATAATTAACAAAATTTGTTACCTAATAGTGTTATGTAATATAAGGAATAGGAAAAAGACTCGAATATGCCATTGGACCTAATGAAATGGCTCATTTATGCCACTCGCAAAAGGGGTTGAAAGAGGAGGGGGCTGATAGGTGATAAAGGTTTTAAATAATACCACGTGATAAAATCTGGTAATAATAAGATTCCAATAGTGAATAATGGCATATATGAACTAATAGTGTAAAGCTTATAACAAATGGCATAGATAGGTCACTTATTAAAGTCTGATGACATATTTGAGCCATTTCCACTTGCAGTACTCGGCGTTTGGCTTGAACACACAAGTACACAAATAGCCCTAGATAATTATTTTCTTTCCACGTTATCAGTTTTTAAAACGCTAGGTATAAGTGCTTTACAGCCCAAAAAATATTTGCAATCTCTTCCTCTTGTAATTCCAAGTCCACTCGTGCCAAAGAAAAGTTTGGTCATCCACACTTGCAGTCACCAACCTTCACCTTTATCGCTATTAATTCTGTTTTCCTTGTGTGCATATACTAGTTCTTGACACTACTCTCATAGAACACTGATACATGTCAGCTCTTATACTAATTCTTGACACTACTCTCATAGAACACTGATACATGTCAGCTCTTATTCTTCAGCATAGAGCTTTTGACCAACTAGCCTCACTTTTGCAGTTGGCATCTCCAAAGCTTACACAGCTCGACAATAAATCATTTTAAGTCCTTGACTACCAAAATGCATCACAAGAAGAGGAACAAAAACCTTACACTAGTAAAAATTTGCAGATAAATATTGAGAATATCATTGTTCTTATTTTAATCATTTCTCCAGATCTAAGATGTGTTTCGCTCTTTGTTCAATAGATTGTTAAAACGTAAAAGTATAATTTTGCCTGATATTGCGATTCTGTTGTTAAAGATAGGTATCCTGCTGCCCCATTTTAGGGTTGGTTAATGTTCCATCGATTGGAAACATCTTCCCAAACAATAACATTACTTGACCCGGGAAACTTGAAAAATAAAGTCTTTAATTCAATGCAAAACTATCTTGTACAGATTTAAAAAATCTAATTAACCGTACAAGATTGTCAATGGCAAGCTTACCCCCATTAATTAACAAAGCTATAGTACGATAAAAATAACAATTCAGAAAAGCAAACAAATTCTACCCATTTCTGAATTTACTTCTCAGAGGAGTTTGGTCCTCTCTTCTTGCCAAAGCCAACAACTGCAAAAATAAACATATTCAAATGAGAAATGCGAGAGTACCAGTGAAAATTCACATATAAGATGCCAACCAATTAGTATCGTAGTGACATCAACAGAATGTTCTATTCTAATTTTACAACAAAGGCATTCTAATGCAAAATTTTCAATAAAGCTATCTTAGGATAGGCATAGAACGCCATAGAGGGATAATGTTTTACCTTGGAAATCATTTTCAAATGTTTGATTGGGTATAAAAGTAAGTACTAACATAAAGTATTCGTCAAACGTGAAGATGGGGTATGCAAAAAATGTTCTTGTGGTAATTTTGATCTATAAAGGCTGACAACACATCCAGATATTAGCTGTAACAAGTAATACAGACTCAGGACATTTTCCCAGATTGGTTTTTCAACAGCTCAGGTAGATCACACACACCAGAAACTTTAACATTTGGTCACTAAGTCTACTTACCCAGCTTAAAAAAATAAACTTAGTTCTATTTAATCCTTCAAAATTTCAGACAAAGGAACGTAATAGCTTTTACTCTTAGTCATTCTACAAGCATTCCACAAATTGTTCGTTGCAAAAGTTCAAGTCTATGAAACTATAGAGCAAATTAATTTCATCTTCAATTAAAATATAACTAAAGGTTTGAAGAGATCAAAATAATAGAATTACCAGCAGTAACGAAACGCCTATTATACTGCATCCTTTTGTGTGCCCGGCCACGGGGCTTCTTTTTCTTATCTTGCTTGGCGACTTTGGGTGTTTGGCCTCTCACCTTACCAGCACGAGCCAATGATCCGTGAACCTTTCCTGCACAAACAAAAATCTCACCAGATTAACCGCAAAACCTTTACGAACAGAGACTTTAGAATTATGGGGCTGAGCTTACCCATGGTTGATTTTTCAGATCTAGAGGAGCAAAGCGTAAAAGATTTTTTGGGGTTAGGGTTTTCTAGGAAACTTTATAGGAGATTCGTCTACAAGTTGGGCTATTTGCTTTTTGAGCCCTGAAGGACTTACGGTCCAATACTTCAGTGATGGGCCACTTTAGAAGTTATTCTCGTAAAAATAGCACGGTATAGCCAGTTTTTGAACTGATCAATCAAAAATAGCCAGCGTTTACCAAGTCAATAAAAAATAGCTACTATTTTGCTGTAATAGAGACCGGTCCAGCATAATATACTGGAGTTCGGTGCACTTGTGTATGAACTCCAGTATATTATGCTGGACCGGTATACTTTGCTGGCTCCAATATAATATACTGGAGACTGGAGCACCGGTGCTCCAAACTCCAGTACATTATACTGGACCAATATACTTGCTGGAACTCCAGTATATTATGCTGGAACTTCCATCATATTATGCTGGAGTTCCAGCATACTTATTCTGAAAACTCCAGTATATATGCTGGAGTTCAAAGTATACTTATGCTGGAACTCCAGCATATATATTGGAGTATTTTCTGGGTTTTGGACAGTGTTTTGCTCAAATTTATCATTTATATAAAAGTGGCTAAATTTCGATTACTTTGAAATTGGGCTATTTTTGAACGACCAGTTGTAAATCTGGCTTTTTTAAAATTTACCCTATTCCCTGGAAAATTAACGTCAATACGGATGTGGAATTGGGTGGGATGGCCACTTTTTAGGCCTGCTAGTTTTTAGACAATATTTGAAATGTAATGAAACAATATTCATTCTTTAATAAGAAAAAAATAAATAAAAATAAGCTACCTAAGACACATACAAAAAAAAACTCCAAGAACAACTACTGGAGTTTGAACATTTATCAGTTCAAAACCACATAATATATTCTTGGAATTCTAAAATTCCCATATAGGTGAAACTTCAACACAGTATACTGGAGTTTGAAACTGTTAAATGTGAAAATACAGCATGCGTGTTAGAGTTCGCAACAATTCTCAAATTTATTCTCTTAGTTTAATCATTGGTAGCGGCGAACGTAGAATTTCTGGATTTGCAATGTACTAATTGTATTGGGAAAAATTGTATTTATATTGTATATAGGTGACGGGTCATGACACGTAGACTAGTCAAACAGTCAAAGAATTATAGGTTGGTTAACAGATACGAGCAACAACAGATACGAACAAGTTAAATGGAGAGGCGCGAGCAGTCATACAAGTAATTCAACGCTCGTACCTATTCAAGACATTTAAAGTGTCAAAGATGATGAAGAATCAAAGGAATGAATCTGACAGCAAAAAAGAGCTCAGATACGCATTTTAATGAGTATTAAATACTGGAAACGTTAGAAAATATGTACTTAATGTATATGATTGCATAACTATATATATTTAAATCATTAATTGCTCATAATAGCTTATTTAAACAAAGGTAAGGCTTGTATCCCCAAAATAGCTATAAAAGGGGAAGGAACACAATATGTAGTGACAAGAAAACACTATTGGAATATACTTTGATTTACTTGCTTTATGATCAATTTATTTACAAATTTCTTTCTTCTACATACTTTCTGATATTCAGTAACCGTATTCTTCTATAATTCTAGCTTTGACTAAAATCTATTTTTTGGTTAAACAAATATTGGTTCCTGTTACCGGGAATCTGATAATCGATTATATCTCAACTTGATCTTCTTTGTTGTATCAACCATGTCGAACAACAATGACAACATCCAAGGAAACCAAGAAAATCAATCGAACCAACAACTTCAGGGAGATCTGCGAGACAAAATGCATTAGTTCCTTCTCCACAAGGTTCACCACGACGATCTCGTGAAGGAACTCTGAAGGATCTCACACAGAAGAACAAGTTCAATTTGAGAATGTTGAAGATATGGATGATGGCTTTACAAAAACTTATCGCTACTCAGGTCAACAAAGCTTTACAAGCTTTTTTTAGTCAATTACCTTGCTGCTCCACCCACACCTACTCCAAATAACAACACTTTGGAGAATCCTCGTTGGATGGTTAATTCAGGCAGCGGTGAATCCCCAATGAAAACACAGAGGGAGACCCAGGTAATCCAGTTAATTTGTATTTACAAAATCTAGTACTAACATTGCAGGAACAGCTTAAGGAGCAAAGTGACTGCATAGAACAAATACTGGAGTACTACCCGTGATCAAGGGGGGTAGATATAGATAAATATTTCAATAAGCCCTGGAAGCAAGTGCCGCTCCTTTCCCAATTCCAAAGAAGTTCAAGATGCCCCCTGATATTCCAAAGTATGATGGGACAACAGACCACGAGATCACGTTACTGCATTTACAACAGGTGTCAAGGGCAATGATTTGACTAAGCAGAGATTGAATCATCTTGGTCAAAAAATTCGGTGAAACACTCACTAAAGAGGGCACTAACATGGTATTCTCTTTACATGAAATTCTATATTCTTTTGCTGAGCTTGCAGATTTATTTATCAAAGCACACTCGGGAGCTCAAAAAGTTGAAAAGAGAATGAAGACATCTTCAAAATTAAGCAAGGAGATTCGGAGTTGCTTAGAGAATTCGTGGACAGATTTCAACGGACAGAATGACGTTGCCACAAGTACTGACAATTGGGCGGCTATAGCCTTCACCAGCAATTTGAATGAGAAGAGTTCAGAAGCTACGAGAGACGTCAAGGAAAGCCTTCGAGAATTCTCCAACAACAACATGGAATGATGTCTACAACAGATACAATACAAAGATGGGATTGAAGAAAGATATTATTTTACGATATATAAACAGAAGAAAAAGTAAGCTCAAGGCGTGTTGAAAATGAAAAAAGATCTGGTAAAAACGGTACGGCTTTAGATGGACCTGGGGGAAGGACTCACGGTTAAGGCAGGATAATCAAAGGTACGATCACAAACCTAGAAACAGGGAATCAGGCTCCTCATCAAGGTTCGGGAATGATCGGAGCACACACGGGTCACGAGATGATAATTGAAGTCTAAAGGCAAGATTCGGTGGTTACAACTTCAACGTAGGACCTCTGAACTCGTAGCTGTTTTAAGAAGCATGGGAGATAAGGTACGATGGCCAAAGGAGATGAGATCGAATCAAATAGACGAAATCCTGATGATTGGTGTGAATTTCACAACGATCACGGGCATAAAACAGCAGATTGCAGATTTCTGCAGGGTGAAGTTGATCATTTGTTAAAACAAGGGTATCTCACCGAGTTATTCAGTTGAAAAAGGTAAACAAGCATACATGAAAAATAGGCAAGAGCCTCCAAAACCACCTTCACCCAAGAGAACTGTCAACGTTATAAAGGGGGTGTGAAGAGATCAATGATGTATCATATAAAAGGTTTCAAAAGTAACAATTACCCACGGGAAGCGGCCTTGACATGTCTTGGAGGAGAAAATATTACGTTCGATGATGCAGATGCCGATGGTCTATTAACTCCACATAACGACGCACGTGATAATATCTTTACTTGTACATGTACACTAACGTGAAACGAGTTTTAATTGATCCAGTTAGTTCTGTGAATATTATTTTTGATACGAGTATTGCGTGAGATGCAAGCTGAAGAAAAAGTAATACCAAGGCACATAACTCTATCTGGGTTTGATAATTCCAGCGTCGTTTACTAAAAAGGACAGGTAACGGCTCACCACATTTGCTGAAGAGTTATAAAGACACAAAGTTCCAGGTAGTTGACATGGAGATGACTTACATATGATTCTTGGGAGACCATGGTATCCCGAATGGACGCTGTTCCTTCAACTTTGCATCAAGTCATTAAATTCCAACGCCATAGGGAATTTGTCAAATTCAGGGGAGATCAACAGACATCTAGGAACATCAACTTCGTGACAGACTCAAGCACGAAGGGTGAAGAAAAATAGCAATTACAATAATTCATTGAGATAACATAGCATCAACCTCAACTGAACGAGGCAAACAGATGTATATTCAAGGCCGATTCCATTCAAGAACCAGAGGAAAATAAAAAACATCAAAACGACGATAGAAGAGCTGGAGGCTGTGGTTTTGTTTATACACTGGCCAGAAAGAAAGTGTATATAGGAGCTACTTTAGCCGGAGGTTGAAGCGTAAGTTAATTGAATTTTTAAAGCTAACACAGACTGTTTTGCTTGGTCCACTACTGACATGACAGGTATATACCACCGGAGGTGATGACTCATAAACTAAATGAAGATCCTTCATATCCTCCAGTCAAGCAAAAGAAAAGAAAGCAAGGAACTTTCAAGAATCAGGTGATTCAAGAAGAAGTCCAAAAATTGCTAAAATTGGTTCAATTCGTGAGGTAAAATATCCTAACTGGGTTAGCTAACCTGTTGTGGTCCTAAGAAGAATGGTATATAGTTGGCGTATGTCTTGTGAGATTAGATCTCTCTAGACTCATAAAGCCTGCCCTAAAGATTCTTTTCCACTGCCACACATAGATCAATTGATTGATGCAACTGCAGGTCATGAACTACTAAGTTTTTTAGATGCATATTCAGGGTATAATCAGATTAAAATGGATCCAGGAGATGAAGAAAAAACTTCCTTCATAACAGACAGGGGGACTTACTGTTATAAAGTAATGCCCTTTGGTCTAAAGAATGCAAGAGCAACATATCAGAGGTTAGTTACCAAAATGATTCAAGAGCATTTGGGAAAAACTATGGAGGTATATATAGATGATATGCTTGTTAAAACTCAGCATTCAGGAGATCATATATCGCATCTATCTGAAACCTTTAAAATTTTGCGAAAATATAACATAAAGTTAAATCCTGAAAAATGTGCATTTGGTGTGGCATCAGGTAAATTTTTAGGTTTTCTTGTTTCTAACCGTGGTATTGAGGTAAATCCTGCACAGATTAAGGCCATTGAGTCATTCCCTGAAATACTTACGAGCAAAAAAGAAGTTCAAAGATTAACAGGAAGGATTGTAGCCTTGGGAAGGTTTATTTCTAAATCATCAGAGAAGTGTTTTCAATTCTTCTCAGTTCTTAAGAAGCAGGATCGTTTTGAATGGAACGAAGAGTGTCAGCAAGCACTCA